AATGCAACAAAATTAAACTGTTATGAGGCAAAAGTTTATTTTTTTATACTTCGCTTTGAAAGATTAAAACTGTGGTTAAATTTTTTTTAATTCATTAGATTTTATTATACTGCTGTGCTCTAAGAGTACTTTAAAGGTATTGTGGAGGAATTTCAAAAACTTTTTAAAAGACCCGCACTGTCCACTTAAAAAAAAAATGAGACCATGCATTAGCCCAGTTCTCCTCGTGCACTCTGTTTAACAGTTGCTGTTTCCATTGCTCATACAAGCATACTGTGCCCGAACATCCGCCCTAAATCCCTCAATCACTGTATAGAGCGGGGGCTATTGAGTGGACTTTATAGCAAACTCAGTTAACTTACCGTTCGGACAGATGATCACTGCTTATTGTTCCCTTAGGTATACTAACTCCTCCTCCACTGCCCAGTGCTTGTGCCATCTATGTTATTATTCGCCTATGTCGGGTAGCGTTAACCTATGGCCAAAGCGTCCCGCTGTGACAGCAAATCCCATAATGCTTTCGAGGAGAGTTCTTTGTGCAAAGCATCTCGGGATATATCTGCCTCTTCTGAGGCCTTTCTTTTCTTCTCATACACTTTGTAGACACTTTTTCTCCCACGACCCTTGGACACTTTCAATGAACCGCGGTGAGAAAGGTGAGTTTCAATGACTGTCTGAAACCGTAGTTCACCACAGATATGCGACTGAAAGTGCACATGCACTTACGACAGCCTTACATAAAGATATCACCAGAATGATTGACAATCAGGAGGACCACTTATTTAGATGATCCAACCAGAAATAAAATAATGCCCTCTATACCTTTAAGAAATCATTTGAGATTTGTTAAGAATGAATAAAAAAAAAATCTAAAATAGAAAGAAATTATCAAGAAATAAGACACTGGTGACATTTGATACTAGAAAGTTTTTTTTTTTTGTTAAGCATATGATCAATTCATAAGGATATTGTGTTGTGCTAATGAAGAAGGGCTTAGTCCAAGACTAACACACTGACATTTGAGTCTTAGAAAAGGTGCTGCATTTAAACCTTAAATTGAAAACTCCAAAAAAATAATTTTTGACAAAAAGTAATGTATCTGAAAAAAAGAGAGAAAAGGAGTAAGGGGAAAAAATCTTTTGGAAGCACAAAATAGTGCAGTTGCGTCCTTAGTGCCTTCTCACTGGAGGTCATGGAGGTTCCCTTTCAAATATAGATTATGAAATTGGGCCTGTTCTCCAGTGTCTATCTCTGTTAGCCTCTTAGCCATAGCTATGGGCTCAGCTTTTACTGGGATTAATTCTATGCTCTGTCTTACATCCTTTTTTTTTAACTTAACTGTTTCTTTCCTAGACAGAGCAACCTAAGGATCTAGTTTACTGCTGCCTTTTCTAACATTGGAAGTATTTATGGGTCATTGCTTCCTTGTTCCTTTTGAATGCCTGCTTCTGTCCTTTTAAAAACAGAGTTGGCCTCAGCAGAAGGATGCTCACACAGAACCTAGTTCTGCTGGAGGTTTCTTCCAGTTAAAAGGGTGTTTCTCCCACTGTCGCTGCATGCATGCTCGTTGTGAGAGTTGACAATCAACAATAAAATACGAGCAAAAAAATCTACTTTATACTCACCCAGGAGGAGTGAATTCTCGGATTTCTTTGGATAGAAGACTTTCAATTTCCCTATATAGCTTGATTGAATCGTCTCTGTGAAGTGGCTTTATGTGTTGTGTATTGTTGTCAAATAAATCATTTGAATTAGATTAAAATGTGATTATTTTTCAACAGAGGTGGGTAGAGTAGCCAACAATGGTACTTAGGTAAGAGTAGCACTATTTAATCATATTATTACTCAAGTAAAAATAAAAAAGTATCCTTTTAAAGAAATTAGTTAAAGGAATAGTACACCCAAAACATGATTAGCCTTCATTTTCTACTCACCCCCATGCTGAACAACACTCTGGAGTACATTTCATCAGACCAAACCAGATGAAAGTGCGCATTCAGCTCGGCAAAGAACTCATGCTCTTCCTCAACACTGAAGTCCTCAGACAATTTTCTTTCGTTGTTTCTTTCTTAGCACAGGTAAACAGCACATTTCTTCTTCTACGCTTGTATTATCGGCAGAGCAGACGCTGAATGCGCACTTTCATCTGGTTTGGTCTGGCGCGGTTTCCGTAGACTCGTGAACGCGCTTTTAGGAAATCCTATACACTACTGTTTATGCTCTAAAAACATTCTAAATGACTTCGTTTCGAGTAAATTATGGATGCTACCCACTCAGGACACTTGGAATACATTGGACGAGCAGTATGGAGGAATATTGACACGTTTTTTGTGGACTTTTATGGACCTTTCTGCCTCGGGCGCCATAGACCTCCATTATTTGAATGTCAGCAGACAGCAAGAAGCCTCCCAGATCTCCAGATGCATTTGAGATATTTAAAAAAAGTACTCCACAGTGTTGTTCAGCATGGGGGTGAGTAGAAAATGAAGGCTAATCATGTTTTGGGTGTACTATTCCTTTAACTAAAAGCAAGCAGGCTACTCAAGATTAATAGTAATGGTATGTTGGAATGGTAAAAGTAAAAAGTACAATGCGGTAACAATACTACTAACAGTACTTTTTTAAGAAAGTTTACTAGTCAAAGTAATTAGTAAATAACTATCTCTGTTCTTGGAGCATATAAAGGTTTTTCCACATTAAAGAAATAATAACTCACTACTAAGCCCCCAGCAATGCTGATTTTACACTTTTGGGACTTTTTTTTTAGCACAACAGACTTGTCTTTATTACAGAGTATGGTGGATACAGTAATGAGTCCAGAGTATACAAGAGGGTCACCAGTCAAAATATTTATTGCTTTGGTGGAGGCTCCCAAGCCCATTTTAGTTGATTTTTCATCAAGTTATTTATTTTTCACAGTTCTTGCTGATTTAAAATTCAGTGGTTCAGATTATGATTGATGTGAATATATAATGTTTATTCACAATCAAATTAAAAAAAATAAAACTTAAGTGCCCACTGAACATCATAAAAACATTTGGTTTGTTTTTCTTCATGAATTGGACCTCACAGGCTCATTAGTTTAACAGTTATTAAGTATAACTTTTCATGAATTGCCTCCATTTTTACATCTCGGTACAGAAGAAAACTTATTCCTATCCTGTACAAAGGCAAGGTTTACCTCAATACTTCAAACAAAGACAGGTACAACTTTAGAATAAAAACCATCAGGATCACTTTCACATTGGAGTGAAACTTGAGATAGTATTCTGTACTGCTATGTGCACCATAAAATGTACAAAATATCAACATGTTGGCTAGTGACCTCTTAACTTATTCACAAGCACTTTGAAGCATGTTTATTTATTTACAACATACACTGTACTCTGAAACAATAAAACGTTTATAAATAAATATTGCAATCTGAACAATCTTACAATTCTCCTTTTTTTGTCAGATTCTTCACAACTGATCACCTGAGCTTTACGAAGGTGAGGCAACCTCTGCCTGCTCCGTCTTCCCATCTCCCTCACTTATCCTTTTATGTGCTATCATTCACCAGCAGACTGTCCATTACTTCAGGCCATTGTCCTTGGTGTTTCTTTCCTTCCTCACCCTCTCAAATGTCAAATTTGAATAAATAGAAACAGTGTCTAAAACAAAAGAATCATATATACTTAAAATATCAGTGGATCCCTCAAATTCAAAGCTACAATTTAAAATGTTTTTAACAATGAATCAAAAAAAGAAAAACATAAAAACATATCTATCAAAAAGTATAAACAGAAGGAAAAATATTTCTATGGTAATATGGAAAGGATTATTTCCTACATATATATTTCAAGCCATTTCTAAGCCACTGTCAGTCATTTTCAGGGATACTGTAATGTCATTCCGTACTTTCTACCTGGCTTAATGTCCTTATTGTAAGTCTTAAATATTTTTGCCAGGTTTTGCAAAGTCCAAGCCATTTACTATTTGCTGCTCATCCCCTTTGGTTTGCAGGATGCATTCTGACCATATTCTATTGTTTGCTCTGGTTCTCGCAGCTGTTTAATCATAGAAGAGGAGAGACAAGGGGATGTTGCCATTTTTTTGATGAAGAAAGCTCAGTCATTGGCTGTAGGGTTCACTAAATATGGCCCGCTGAAAAAATGACCTGTGTCCTTTCTTATTTTCTATTGTGCAAGAATAAAACCTATATGTTGGATCCAAGGATGACTTTCTTTCTCATGACTTCTCCTTCTTAAACTCTCAAAAGCATTTTGTGGAAAAGTGTGATTGCCTGAAGAAAAACATAGAATTATCACATCTGTTGTTTAATTTTTGAAACACATTTATATTTTATACAACTCGCATTGTATAAATCAGTTATTTTGAGTGTCCCTAAATTATTGGTTTACTTTCCCCGTCAGGAGTCCTGGCAGATAAATTCTGTATATTTTAAAACAAAATATTTTTTAACAGCCATTGTCATTAATGGTAATAAATAATATGTAAAAAAAAAAAAATAAATAAGGGGTTTGACGTCATTACAAGATCAAAGTTGTTTAACATATTTGTTAAGATGTAAAGTGGCATACAAAAGTTTGTCCTTTAACATACCCTGAATTGATAATGTATGATTACAGTGCTTTACTTGTTTTCTGAAAGTAAACACACATAACCCAATAATGATCATTATTGATTTTTACAGAATGATTTCCACAATAAGTAACACAAAACAAACTCTGAATGTTACTTATTGTTTGCTACTTTTACTTTTATGTAATGTAATGACTTTATACTTTGCCTTTCTTAAGGGAAGCTATTAACAAGCTACCCACAAGCTGTGTCCAAAACCTTTAGTTCATTACACCTTTTGTGTTTAGTCATCCCACAATTTTTGCTTCACCTGACCCTCTATTAATCCACTGCAAAGGCATCACAGGTGAATTTTACTCATTGTCCATCTTTTATCCAACACATATCCGTTGCCTGTATATTGCTCAGTATCTCAGTCACAGATTGTCTTGTAGCCTCTCCATGTAGGTTCTGATTTCAGACTGACCCAGGTCCATATCCTGGCACACCCACTTTATGTCATCCTCATTCCCATTTGTGACAAGAACTGAGGAATTAACATACGGGCCACCACCACCAGAATTATCGTTGGGCAAAACAGTGGCAAAGGATGTGAATTTAACTCTTTTGCGCTTGGCAACAGCAACTGCGGCTGCAGCCGCAGCTCGGGGAGAATTATTGAGATGCTCTGTTTGCCCAGTGGCATCTTTGCCACCAGTAGTAATTGCAGAAAGGCACTGATGTGGCTCTGCAACGGACCGTGGCAGGGTCTGTCCATGGGTCATCCCCCGAAGTCCCCCTGTGCCGCCACCCGCACTTTTTGTGCCCATGCCAGTGCCTAAACTCATCACCAAAGTGTTTCCAGCACCATTCAGAAGGTACTTGCTCTCCTCATATCCTCCTTCATTTCTGTCAATGATGGTTGTACATTCATCAGGTAACCCTTGGCATTGGTCTGTATGGTCAGCTAACAGGTCAGCCTCGGTACCAAGCCACACCCAGTCATGGGCATGGTTCATGTTACCACCTGCTTCTAGTACTGGCACCTGCTTGTGACGATACCTAAAGAACAAAAGACAGATGACAGATGAGCATCAATTACGGCGAATAACGAACAAAAACATCATTCCTAAATATTCTAATGATATTTCATAATCAATCTGGGAATTATTCTGTGATAGGACTTTGTGCTTTCAGGTTTTTGAAAAGAGTTGTGCCTGTGAAATTGGATTCTCTCATGGTAACTTGTGATGACGAATGGTGATCTGTGAACTTCCTCACCCTCTGTTTTTGGAAACAATGTAGTCAAACTTGAAGGTGCAGAAGGAGATCTTTTCTAACGGATTTGTTACCATGTGGCTTGAATTATGTAAAGATTCTAAATAAGTGGAGTTTATGATTTTCAATGATGTAGAAAGTGGTGGACATTTAAAAAAGAAATAAATAAATAAAAAAGATGACTTTAATACTGGACCTCTGCATACTAATTTGATGAGCAAACATCCTTCAAAGTCTTTAGATTTAGCCTGGAGCCAACAGGGCTGTAGCAAAGGTTATAATTTTACATGTTTTATAGCTTCCTGCAACACCTTCAATAACAATGTATGTCAACAGAAGAAATCGCTGACAACAGGGGTCTTCAACGTTTTCCAATGAGCCCTGTATTCTGATTCCTCGTAGATGGGACAGGTGTCGTAGATGAAATGGTGCCCAGCTTGAAAGAGCTCCTGTGTGTCTCTCAGTGTGTGCATTGATGACTGAAAGACATGTTCTGCCTCCATTTATCTGTTTACTAGAATGTGTTGACATTTGTTACTTAAGTAGAAGTATAGATACTGTAGTTTAAACACTAGTTTTAACACTCTGGTAAAAGTTGAAGTATCAACTTGAACTCTTTACTCAAGTAAATGTGAAAAAGTATGTGCTCCAAAAATTACTTTAAGTATAAAAGTATAAAGTAACCTTTAAAAAAAAAAAAAAAAAAAAGCCAGATGCCACTATATGAATTGAAAGCTCAATTTTCCGACTATTATTTGAGATAGGGCCAAGGATGATGGAGGTGCTGTTGGTCTCTGTCTCCCGATACGCTCTCGCCTGTGTCAGACCTTTCAGACATTTCAACATCTTTTTCTAAATTCGACATTGCAGCATTGCATAGACAATTCCCGTTTGCAGTTAGAAGAAAACATGCTTGCCTCTGATGATTTCCTTTGGCGTCAGCACAAATCTGACGAATAGCTAACCAATGAGTGTTTGCGTTTATAACTCACCCAATTATACTAGTTTTCACTAGATGTGGATGGCGCCAATGATCTGCATTAGGTGGCGCACATGACGTGAAATACATATTTATAAACATTAAACCAAAGCCAATAGTAACGAGTAACATTTGTTTTAAAAATCTAAGGAATAGAAAGTACAGATACTTGTGTGAAAATGTAATCAGTAGAAGTAAGAAGTAGGAAGAAAAATAAGTAATGGAGTAAAGTATAGATACCTAAAAAGTCTACTTCAGTACAGTAACGAAGTATTTGTACTTCGTTACTTGACACCTCTGCATTGGCAGTCCACGATACTACAGCTCTCAAGGCGGAAATTACGCTAACAAAAAGGGCAGCGCCCATAATATTCAGGATCTTATGTGCCTGGATCGCGTTCTCTGTTCAAATTTCAATGAGAATCTTGGTCTCTGCATCTTCCCAGGTCACACCACACTCTTGATGCCATTTATTGCCAATAGGCTGAGAAGACGTTTGTGTTGTGAACAGGGGAAAAGATTTGTTAATTGCAAAGCTGGACATGCCGGAAACCCCCGAAATGAGTCAGCTGACTGTAAACTGGAGATGTGTGGTCTGCTCATGCGCTCTTTGTTATCAGTGAACAGAGCCACAGGTGAACTATGCCGAGCCCTACTGTTGAACTAGCACTAGATTTAGCGCAATTCTGCTGTGTTTGGCACGGTTCACTACAAACAAACACCAGATGTGCTGGAGTTAATACTTAAAACAGTCAGAGTTTAAACACACAATCTACTGTTTAAAAGTCACTCTTCTCTTAGAATTTGATTGATATTCCATTTTTTCTCCACTATCCTGACTTGTTTCCTAAAATAACGATGGCACATAACATACTGGTTACCATCGTTCAAGAGTTTGATAGCATCGGAATACCAGCATCATCAATTTTCTTTTGTTTTTTGCTTGATGATATATTGAACCCTTCTAATGACATTCACATTCATCATTAATTCCAGTTATCTGTATGACGTCCACATTCTTCTTCTGTGCGTTTGGTTGCCGTGATGTCTTAAACCATTTATACGGAGGTCTGCTGGTGGTCGTCTTCAAATAGCAGTAAACAAAACCATGTCAAAGGAATCAAATTTCAGCAAAAAATCTAAATTGAGTACCCAAACATCTTGTGTTAATGTAAACCCTTTAAAATAACCAGCATAAAAGCTTGGCATGTTCAATTTTTTTGGGAAAGTTGAATTACTTTTCATTTTAAGTTTAGCTTAAACTTTTACAATGTATTACCTGAATGCGAAGCTGACACAGTTGATGAGGAAGACCAATATTGCCAGACAGAATACTCCCAGAAGAGCATACATCCCAATCTCGAGGTCTGACAGGCCTCTCGTAGTCTGTGTCAGCTCCCCGTTCCCAGTTCCTGGAACCTCGACCTGTACAGGGTTCTTGCTATAGCCATTTGCTTGACTTGAACCTCCCTGGCCGCTGTTGCCACCACTGGCAGCTCTGCCACCTAAAGCACGTTGTGTAACTGTGCTCTTTGTCGTTGTGCTAACCTGATGAAATAAAAAGAAAAAAAGCAGTTATGAAATGTAAAATCCAATCGAAATGGGGAAATGCATAATTCTAGTGTAAGTTTCAACTATTGGTGGAAATTTAGAATTGCAACCTTTAGAAGACTTTTTGACAGAATTGAAAAAAACAGAATAAGAAGAATGATTTCAGAGAAAAATCCAAAATAATTCACCCACCTTCCTCATAGCTCCTTCCTCTCGGTCCGCAGCCACACTCTTGGAATTCCATTCCCCTCCAATATTGGTTCTTTGCTCGCTGGTGCTGTTTTCCAAACCTCCACCATCCTCTGGTCCACCTCTCTCATCGCTGTTAGCTCCAAATTTGACTACCACATTACCAACTCCAGATGCCAGCACACTCTTCCTCTTAGACTTCTGGCAAGTCTCAGAAATGACCATCTCCACACGAAACAGTGGGCCTTGTCCATCACCCTCAGCTACTATAATTGGCCAGTGCTGCTCCTATTTGACAGTCCATTAACAGGAAGATGAGAAGAGATGTTCTTGTTATGTTTGGTGAAAATGCAATGAAGGTGTTTTTTTTATTTTTGAAAGGACCTTATTTTACCTGATTGGTCACAGATATGACGTTCTCATCCAGTGAGATAGCTGAGAGGAGGAAGTCTTTGGGATCATAGATATCCAGGGGTGTCACTGAACCATCACTGTAATGAATCCATGCACTTACTACAGCTTCCTGGACGTGAGGAAAACAAAAAATAAAAAAGTTTGATCAAGGCATCTTAATATATACAATTAACCCTGCAGTGCTTTAACCTAAAATACCAGTTGTAGCTATATTTTGTGTTTTATTAAAGTGAGTGAGTGCTTGTTGCTATGATGTGTCTTTACTCAGCAGCTTTGCCAACCAATCAGCGCACAGCTCATCTAAATATTCATGAGCATACCACAAAAGGAAGAAAACCTGTCGTTTCATTCTAGGGCTTTTAACCAGGCTTGCATTAGGGCTCATAAAACAACAAATATGCCATTTTCAGCACAACCAATGTTAGACACCCTATTCAGAGACCTTAAGGACCAGCACCAAATACCCTATAGAATCATTATATGACCCCTTTAAATAAGCAATGCTAATTTGTATGAGAAAGAGTAATTTCTGTTTTATTTCTATATTTTACACATCCACATATTGTGCAGTTGGTAGTATCTGTTTTTAAGAAAACCTGTTATGAGCATATTAAAGTCATCATATATTGAATTAGATAATTCGACCTGAAATACTGTGGTTACTTTACCATCAGAAGAGACTTTAGGAAAATAAAATGCACAGATGAGTTTAGAGGGCATACTAAGAAATAGTTCTCAATAAAAGAAAGGTTTGCATAGTGAAGGCTTTAAAACTTAGTTTAAAAAAGCCTATAGTCATGCATTTTGTGTTGTATTGTAATTATTTTAAAATGTAAATTGGAAACTAATTCCAACAAAACACGTTGAAATTTTAACCTAGAGTTGCCTGTGTCTGAAATAATGCAATTTGGTAAACATGGTGAGAATCACAGCAAGGTGTTGCTTAACCACAACCTCAAAACAGAATGATCGATCTTCCTTTTTTAGGTTTCAGTTAAAGTTTATCCATCATCCTGAATTTTAGGCTACCCTGTAATTTGAAAGTCTGAACTTCATGGTATTTTGCTTTATTCCTTTTTTTTAAATTAATTTCCTACTTTCATAAGTGATTAAGCAGTTAATTTAAAGACAGAATTAGCTGATTACTCTAAAACACTGTGTTTAATGAACTATTGCCTAACTATATTAAGAATAACAAATTAAACAGTGCTTATTGATCTTTTAGGAGTTTGTGATAAATGCTAACTTTACTCAATTAATTTTACATTCAAGACCCCCTAGCTCCGTTTGAATATCTGTTAATGCCTTTCGGTCTCTCGAACAGTTTTTCAGTCCCTTTGAAATCTTAGATATTTTTTAAAATCAGTTTGAATTCGTATACCTTGCAGACATTCTGAACAGAAATATCCATGTGCATCAAGTTCTTCAATGTCTTCTAGAGAACAAACTCTTTGTCAAAGCTGAGAATTGTGATCTTCATGCCATATTAATCATCTTCTTGATACGCATTGTCAAGAGCAGACAGGTGAAGCCAGATCCAGAGAAGGTTCAAGCCATACTCAATTGGTCTACCCCCTCAACCAGAATGCAGTTCTCTGTGTCCAGATTCGTATGCTTCTGCATGTTGGTCAAAAAACTACAAACTAACATGATATTTACCTAAATAATCATCTATTCACTTAAATCAATTATCTTCTCTAATCCAATTAATAACTTGAGCTAGTCAGTAAACAGTAGATATTACTGTGTAGCTGCAAGTACCTAATTCTTTCCTGACATGTATAGATTCTCTAAACTGTAAAAATTGTTTTTATTAAAAATTATGTTGTTTATTCTGCCCAAATTTGTAATTTTTGAATCATGTTTTTTATTTGTAATATTTTTATTTCATTTCAATACCTTAACAAACCAGACTTTGCACACATTGTTGTCCGATTACATTATTTCAAACACTAAATTAGATGTTATAAGCCAACAATTGCTCAGTACTTAAGTAGCGTTATTACTAAGTACTTGTATTACTAGTTTTACTTGGATAAAAAAAAAAAAGGTGCAGAAGTGCTACTGTTACTTTAGTAAAATGTTGGGGTACACTACCCACCTCTTCCTGTAACCCAATCTTAAATAATGTGGTAATATGTCACAGCAAAAATGAGATGAATTTATGAATACAGATTGCCTCATCATCTATATGGAAACGTCTGTTTATTGTTAGCGAAATGCAACAAAAAGATGCCAATTAAAAGTGAAATTATAATTTCAAACATAGTGTCTCCAGGTGAGTGTTGGTACATTTGTGAATGCCCTTTATATCTATCTATATAAGTAAAGCAATCCTTACCTGTTTAGGTGTGTGAAGCAGGTCTGTAGCTGTAGTTGTTAGCTGTATAGCTTGGTAATTTCCAGGACTTGCAGTCATGCTGAGAGACAACGATGCAACTAGCTGGACTCCTAGGTCTGTTATTGTTACCTACAGAAACACATATCTAATTCAATAAATATTTTACCATAATTAAAAAAAAATGCTTATAAAAATGTTGGATTTCCACTTTTTTTTAACATTGAATAAACAAAAACAAAACAAAATAAAACTTCTGCAGATTATACCTTGGACCATTGGTGTTATGTAGTCAGATAACATAAACAAAATTTTTTATTAATTTCAATTTCTTAGTACATTTAAGCATCTTTGGAAGGATAATTATTTAATACTCAACTCTGTGGGCAGAAAAAAAAAGATACTAAGCTAAAAAAGTTATGTTAGTTAAAATAATTTGCTCATTATATCATAAACAGTGTTTTATAGCAATTGTTGTAAAAATACACAAACCAATAAATTTCTGAACATATGGTTGGTGCCTATATACCGTACAGTGGTTCCTGGGTAAAACCTTGGACCAGTCTGTCTCAGATCCAGCATCAAAGTCATGAAAAAAAGGTTTAACCAAATCAAATTACTAAACTAGTCTAAATGGTGCTGTACCTTGTCATCTAGTACTGTCACAGTCTTCTCTGCCAGGATGGAATCGGACAGAGGGGACAATACCTGTAATAAATTGTAAGATAAGCGCTATTTATTTTTTTTGCAAACAAAAAACAAACAATTTGAAAGTAATAGAATAAATTTAATATAGATGTTAATTGAAATCCATTACACAGCATGATGGGTTTAAATTATGGTTTAAATTTTAGAACATAATGCATTTTTATGTAAAAATATATTGCTTTTCCAGACTCAGAATCCTAGAATTTTAAGATTATTATGTTAAACACAAAACAGGTTTAATTGGAATACAACCGGACTCCAGGATAGGTGTTTAAATGTAGTCAAAATAACTATAAGGAAGGTCAAATTTTGAAAACAAGGTGTGTATACAGCATATAAAAGAAAGTCCCATGGTTTTTATTCTATAATTATTTAGACAACAGAATAGTTAAATTTAATATTTTTCTAAACTGTGTAGGGTAGCTGGTTGTAAAACCTGCTTAATACTGCGATAGTGACATAAAAATAGATCCTAAGATAAGCTTCCCAAGGTTTTTTTGTCCGCAATAACCTAGTCTTAGATTAACAGGATTATCTTATCGCTGATTAATTTTCTGCATATGGATTCAAATTTGTGTTAAGAGCAATTGCTTAGTGTATATATGGCAAAAAGAGCATATGGTGAGTAATTAAATCTTGCAAACACTACCTGAAACACATAGACCCCTCAGCTGTGCTGCTGTGGGTTAGTATTCAAGTCAACTGGGCCAAAAGCAAAGCATAAAAAATTTTAAAAGCAAAGTGAGTTGATGAAAGGAGAGTAAAAGCAAGTGGTGAGCAAGAGAGGGTAACACAGAGCAGGTGTCAGAGCAGGAGAGACAATGACAAATAGGGGTGGACAGAATATAAGAGAGGGCAAAGGGACGGAGCATGAAAGAGATTGGGATACAGGAGGAGAGGCAATGCAGAGGAATGACAGTGACACAGATTAGCAGCCTCGCGGTAGAGTGAACTCCTCTGCCTGGCGACATGGACAGGCAGATCTGATTGGTGTACAAAGAAAATCTCTCAGTGAACGTGCTGGAGTGTCAAATTCAATCTCACCCTCTGAGAGGTAAGATTTTTTTTTTATGATTGACATGTATGGGATTGCTCTTCAAGACTGAGAATGAGCATCTAAGAGGGAGAAGCTGTGGGAGATAGACTAAAGAAAGAGAGATGGGCAATAGAGGAAGAATTAGGGCTCAGGGAGTCTAAGCTGGAGAGGTAAAATTGAAATGTCAAACTATCAAATGGTGGCTGTCAACTCCAGCATGTAGAAAGAGGGAGTGTGGGGTAAATTCCCTTTTCTTGGCCCCAAAACGGCACACAGCTGTCTATGATTGCTCAGCTGCAGTTGTATCTACGTGTCCCAAGTTGGTCTGATGCAAAACATACACTCAGCTGTTATATTGACGGTCTCTTGTGTTTGCCCTATACTCAGTGCCAAATTAGTTGACAAACACACACACTAACCACTTATTTTCTGTAAGATCTGTCATGCTTGTTTATGCATTTAAATACACATTTTTTAGAGTAGCTTTATAATATCCTGCCCTATGAACAAATTGGGATCTGTTCAGGATGTACCCCACTTTTTGACCCAAGACAAGCGCCGGCCCCCAGAGAACGGGACGGAGAAGCTGCAGAAGATGGAGGGATGAAGATTTATAATAAACACTGCCTAGGAGAAGAATTTTTAAACCTTTTCTCATTTTTATATTGTACATTTGACCAAGACAAATAAGTGTATATAGATGGAATTGAAAAACCTGGACCCATTCGTCCAGTTAAATTTGCATGTTTTCTAAGCCAAAACAAGGCTTTCTTTTTGGTCCACTCTATAAAGCCTCAAAACCAACACTTCTTATGACATTTTAAATTGAAAAAGCTTCCTGGATGGGAAGTGAAACATCTTCAAACTTGGAAACAAAGCCATAGATTTTTGTTTTGGAATGACTATGACCTGGATGACTGAGAATATTCACTAGTCTATTCTGGTTAGTGTTGAGCTGTTTTGCAAAGAAGAGTTGTGTACGATTTTCCTCACAAAATGTGCAAAGCTGGTAGGGACATAACTGAAAAGACCTAGCTCTAAACACTACAAAGTGTTTTTTTTTTCTTTTTAAGTAACATGGGTTTTTTTTGTTTTTCTATGCAAAAACTACTTTGTTTTTTTTTTCAGATACAACCTCAATCTATAATAATTTGTAATTATAACATCACAAAATGTGAAAAAAAAAGTTCATAGGCTCTGAAAAATCTTATGTGGAATACTAAATTGTGCATTCATTCACTCACTGTGACTTGATGGACCATCAAACATTACAATGGACTCGTGGATTTGTGGTCCTTACTGTATAATCTCAAGTATGTTTAAATGCAGCAGAGCCTAAATGGCCCATCTCTGTATGTGGATAACTGCAAGATATCCCATCAGGATGTTAAAGCAACATGAGCAATATTTGATTGGGGCTAATTGTAAAGCAGGCAACAAGGAGAAAGGGTTGTATAAGAAAGAAATAGTATAGTGGGTTAAAATGATATCACTTTGCACTGTTGGGGAAAGTCCCAGATTCAGTCTGCTATGTGAACGTACCCTAATTCTTTTTGGACTTGGTGAAAATTTACTTTTTTTTCCCGTTAATGGGTTTACTCAGTGTACAATGTACAAATACAGCATTACAAAAAGCACTAATTAAAGCAGATTGTCAATGAAAAAAAAGGAGAGCAAGAGAGAAAACAACGTATTGGGTTTAGAAAAAGTAGTGTAATCTTACTCACTTGTATAGTGGTGATACCTAGATCCCGTCCAATTAAAATATGCCCATCTACAAGCCTGGCAATGCGAGGATCTTCTACCTGTTTGAGCAAGAAAGAATGAAAACTAGGAACACTATGGTACAAGGGACATAAAAGAACGCAGCCTAGAAGTAACCTTTCCTTCAAAGTATAGGCTTTTAACCTTCCTTTTTGATTAAGCTCACTATACACTAAAGCTATAGAGGTGAAGACTTTATAGGGTTGTTCCAAGATATTTCTGTAGTTATGCTGCTGTATTATTTGGCCGCTGCATCAGGACAAAATGACCATTTTCTTCATTCTGCTACAACTTTCTACTACTGTCAAACCTGTCCTTATTAGCTGTTATTCAGGCTTTTAAATGCCCTCTATTTCTCTTTTCATGGAAGCTGCAGTACACCTGGCTTAGAATTCTGTTTAGCTTTGACATCATCCTGAAGGGTTCATCACCTGAGTTACAGGTTCCAACAACTTATTGTTCTCCCTCTAGAGTGGTTTCAGTTGGTAACCCTCTCTCTATCTTAGAAAAGTTACAGCATACAGCAGACTGAGCTTTTACCGTAATTACTATACAGTATGTGCTTTCTTTAGTCCCATGGCCTTAAAAAAAGAGTCTCAGGGTGTCTATGCTCAGTTGTTGTTTTTTTCTCTCAAATGAAAGGGCTGAAGGAGCTATAAAAGCCATTTACTTTTCAAATTTCTTTAGCACGTAAAACACCCATAGATCAGCACTTCTGTGTAATTTTGTTAAACGCTGTCTTTTTAAACTCCCTGTCGGGCGTAATAGAATGTCTCTGAAACTCAGTCAGGTTCAGCAGGAAGTTGCTTCCTGGAAAAAGGTATTTTTCTTTTCCACTGTTGCTACATGCATGCTCGACATCAGAGATTGCCACAAAGTCAATAACTCACCCCAATGGTCTGGTTACGGTCGCTTTATACTCAATCACAAGAACTACATCGGCCGAAGGCAGTAATCCGAAACAAACTGTTGGACTTTTTGAAGCAAATGGTTTGACTTCTTTTAGTTGATCACTTAAAGAATTTGGGTGGACTGTTTAATTAGACTCTTTAATTAGACATTTTGGAATGAATGTATTTGACCAAGAATCTGTACGATTGCACTAAATGTATTTTCTCAATGTAAAGTGCCTGTAAAACTACATTCTATAAATAAATTGATTGAAATGTAATTTAATTGACTTGAGCCAGAAATGTATTCATATCCCTGCAAGATTCATATTCAAGCTAAGCCATATGTTATTATTTTCTCCGATTAGTAGTAATTTAAAAAAGCTGGAGAAGCCGAGACCCAGCCTTAACTCTGATGAGGGTAATGGTGAAAAAAAGCCTTTTAACCTTAAACTCTTGGAACATATTCAAAAACATGATTTGTCAAAGTGGAAGCTTGCAAAAACGTTGTCAGGTATTCTCAAAAATGTTTTACAACTACCTATTTCCACTGATTATCGAGAAAGGTATTAACATTCACAACACACACATTCACACCTACATTCATATATATATATATATATATATATATATATATATATATATATATATATATATATATATATATATATATATATATATATATATATATATATATACATATATATATATATATATACATATATATATATATATGTGGAGGATGTATATATGGAAGATATGTGGGTTTTCTACAGTTACCTTCAACTGGTCCAATACCAAAGGAGTGATATCAGCTTGCCAATCGGTACCCAACATGTAGACCATCTCACCTCCAGGTTCAGAGACTTCAGCAACAAAATGAGTGAGGACTCGCACCACAGCGTACTGGTACTGAAGGGATAAAGGAGGAGGGTGTGTGAGCATAGGGTGGGAGCATCTTTTTAAGTGCAAATAATAACCTATTCAATGAACTGATATTTTAAGGAGCTGTAATCTGTTATGAAAACTACAGTATGATACATCTATCATAGGGCATAAACAACCACTATAAGGCATATCATATTTTACGTTTCACCTAAATCTCTGCATAAATGAGTTAATGGAATTGATTAAAGGCAAATAACAAAAAAAAAAAAAAACAACCTATTAACTAAATTTAAAACCTCAAATTCAAATCATATTCCGTCCAAAAAAAGAACAGAACAATAAAACTTCAATCAATTGATACCTGTAGGGTGCAGCCTTTACCCTTTTTGTCATCATCTTCATCATCCTCACTGTCTCTGGTGGGTCTGTGAGAAGAGAAAAAACAAAAATAAGATTGAAAATTGAAAAGACTCAGCCCCAACTAATCCATAGCATGAACTTGTCTTGTAAGTAAATTTGTAAACAAAGACTAACTCAGTTTCGAATCCATATTTACATTTACAGATTGTACTCTTCAAGTAAAGCATATATTTGATATTATTACAGATATATTTGATGTGTTCTTACATAATGTTATTGAAAATGGGATACTTTTTATTTGCTCTTCTCCTGGTGAATGAAATTAAAAACTGGCTACATTTTTTAAATTAACGTAAGTTAAAAGCTGAGTTCTTTTGTCAAACTATGTGCACACACAAAAACAGAAACAGAGTCAATCATAACACCTGTACGATTATAGTTATTTGAATAACATTTATATATATGAATAATTCTTTGTGTATCACCCAAAAAAGCATATTTTGAAAACCTATCACAGTTTACAGTAATCAAAGCAAAATCGGTAGCAAATCCTCCTCTAAGAGTGCTCAGGATATTCTATCAGTGGTTGGAAATTTGTAGCCCTCCCTCAAGGTTCCCATATAGATTTTCCTTTCTCAAATAGCGACAAATAAGTACACAATCTTTTGTCTCTGCCTCCCTATGTGAAATATCTAGTCAGCACATAGAGCTACTTCTGATTCTCATGACTGTCCCTGCTCCACTGTTGCTCTGGTAATATTTCATAAATTCTTATTCCATTTCCCAGGGCCCATGTCACGTGTTTGCAAGTGTGTCCCTAATAGTTCTTGCTTTTTACTCAGGTAGATGGTGGTTCTTAGATGGTGGTTAGGGGATATAGAGATGTTTGGGTGTATTGTGGGGGGACTGGCTGGGTTGTGGGGGGGTGAAACAGCTTGTACATATTGGCTGGTGGCCACCTGAGCAGAAATTGGCAAAATTGAAAAATAGGCCCAGCAGAGCAGAGTGGAATGATGGCAAGATGGGAATAAAACAAAACATATCAGTTATGGAGCACATACGTAGATACAAATGTGTATATACAAGTGTAAAAGAAAACATAAACTGCACATAGAAAAAAGAATAACCATGAAGAAGTGTGGATCTAAATAGTGACACAAGAGAGGAAAAAGTGACACGCACATGCATGCCCACACACCCACTCAAATTATGAAATAAATAAATGATAAAAAGATGCAAATTAAAGGATACAGTAAGATGATGGGGCAAAGCCCATACAATCTTTTAAAGGTAGAGACCATTTTTTTATGCTGGGCACTCCCAAAAAAATGACGTTCTTGACTAACTTATTTTATAACTTAGTTAAAAAAATGACTTTCTTGACTAACTAATTTTATAACTTACCTAGCAGGATGCTTACCCCTCATGTATGTCAATTACAATCATTGTCTTCTGCATTTTTCATTGCAAATGATGCAACGGGGCAAGCAAAACTTAATATATTTAGGATCTGTTCAAGCATCCAGACTGCCGCCCTCTTATTTTGAAAAATCTTCTGGAACTTCTTTGCTCTTTCTGTGTCTAACTTCTTTTTTAAACATCTGTATTACTGTATGTGTATAATTGATTGAAAAGATAAACATGTCATTTTCATCCATGGGTCAAACTCCATATAACCTTTTAAGAAATATGACATAATTTTAATTGGATAGTTTACATAGTTTGGATAGTTACATACAGATACATTATTTACCAATGTCTGTCTGGTCTTTATTTACCACTGTCTGACTGATTTTGGTAAAAAGTCATCTTTAATGACGATACATTTTGAAATGGTTTTTTTTTTTTACCTCACATTGTGGTTAAAAGCATTTTAATATCCAAGCACCCACAGTGCTTAATAATAGCAATTTTTGTACACATCAGTGTGGGATCCTTACCAATTCTTTAATTTTTTTTTTTTTATACAGCTCTCTCTCTCTCTCTGGCAGTTTTAGTTTTGATAGAATAATGGAGAGTTAGAAAATACTAATGTTTAGCTTATCAAATATAAAGACAAAAAAATAAATAAATAATTAAAGACGTTCCAGATGTATTAGACAATTTTCCCGGAATGTAGGTTAGAAACCAGGTCACTTTTTGAATTGATAGACAAACCTACCTGCTTTTCTACTTTAAGGTAAAAGCTGCGGAGCTACAGTAAATGGTTAAATCTAAGATCATTTGATACATAAACACTGGAAGTGCCGAAGTGCAGAAACAAGAAACACGTAAGGATCAAGAACGTACAATGTGTTAGGTGAGCATGTGACAAAGATTGTTATGCTGGACAACCAATAGTTTATTATAAAAGTACATTACCCACTATATCTTTAACATTTAATAAAATATTTCATTTTGTATCAATTTCAACATCATAATAAGCAGTCTTTGCCAAGTAATGTGATACGTATATGTAAAATACTATTTCCCCAATAATTGCCTTGCTGATCAGCCCTGAACTGAAGCCTAATCTTGAGTGATATTTTGGATTTTAGCAGCTGTAGAAGAAAGCTGCACATCTGATTGCTCTGTTTATATCGATAAATTTATTGTTATTATGTTGTTTGCGCTTAGACCCACTGTTGAGACTAAGAAATGCATTAATATCAGTATAAGTAAGGCTGTTAACTCATTAATCAATCAACTTCTCAGCAATATCTAAATGCTTTAACTTACACTTAAAAAAAAAACACCCACATTCATCCTGTCTTTCAATCACTTATCAATCTTATCACTATTGGAATCTAATATTTTTGTTGCCCCTTTTCAAACTGGATCTTAGACTTTACTTCGTTATTTTCACAATTTGCCTGGAAGTTGCTGACTTATTTCCTTGTTTACCCCCTGTGCACATCCACAATAATCACATTTCTGGTCATGCAGCATCATTGTTAAAAAACATACACAAAAGGCTTTATTTAATAACAAATTGAGCAAAAGCAAAGCATAAAACACATAAACATCATATATTACACCAGTAGGAGTTTTAAATCCTTCAGAAAAACACTGTATACAAAAAGAGTGAGTTAATGGTGTGTAAATAAATAAAAAAGTAATGACCTGCTTAAGCCGGGCATACGCTGTACAATTTTTTTGCCCTTTTCGGGCTGATTTTCCAGTAGTGCATGAATTTTCCGATCGGGCCGAATTTCGGTCTGATTGTGCGTCATGCATAGTGTAGTGTACAGGGGGTAACGAAGGGTGATCAACCTTTCACGACTGCCTCCCGATTAGGAATGAGGTCGGGAGAAAATCAAACGTGTTTGAAATTCAGTCAGCCGTCGTTGGGAAATCGCTCAGTGCGCATACGCAAAAAAGGACCCTAGTTGCCATGTTTGCTCAGCCATGTCTTTGTCCAAATAGGTTGTCGCCTTTTCTTCTTGGGGCTTTCAGCACACAAAATTGCACAAATTGCCAAGGCAGTGCATTTCTCTCTAGTGAGCTTCATATCCCCGTTCTACTCGTTTGGCTTCTGGATAGACGAGTCAGAGTAGCTCTATCTCATTGCGGAGCTGAGTCTGACGTGGTTTTTACACATACAGTGTGAGCAGGTAGATCGCGTCTACCTGAGCTGTGAACTTTAAACCCTGCGGTTACGTCATACAGTGTGAGCTGTAGCTGCGTGCAACGATTGAAAAAAATCGTACAGTGTACGCCAGGCTTTAAGTAGCAAGTGTTTAGAAGAAGGACAAAAAAAAACAAAAAAAAACCGGCTAAAATGTTAAACTACTTTTTCAAATATATGCTATTGATGAAATGTCTTCCTTATCCGTCGTACAGTACAATGAATGGCAATGTATATGAAAGATGCAGAGGGAATGCAAGCAGAGAAATCGCTTTTGGAGCCTGAATCAGAGTTTTTATTTTTTGAAAAGCACAGATCAAAATGCTTTCATCCTCCACAGTGGGATCTCCACCCCCTCCCATCACTCACTCCCTGAGGTCAGACAGGTAAATTACCTCTTGTTGGTGGTGATCGGCACCCTCCAGCCTTTGACCTGGCTCAGCTCGGTATCTGACACATCTATCTGCAGAGGTAGCTTTGGAACCCACACAGTGAGCAGCAGCTGAGCAGACAGGTGGAGGTAGGTAAAGTTGACTGCCAAGGACTGTCTACCTCGCATTTCCTTGCCGTTGACCAAAACCTGGTCACACCTTGAAGAAACCTTAAGCAGAGAGCAGAACAGGAGAAATGAGTTTGCCTGATGTGTGAAGCAGAATGTGTTTGAGGTCTTACAATATCTAACTGATTTAATTTAGTGAATCCAGCTGTAGAAATAGTGGCAAGACATTCACTTAATGCCTTAATGTATCTTCAAATCCATCTTTGTTCTGACAGCAAGAATAGCATTCACTACTTAACGTCGTGTTTAGTTCATATTTCCCCAAAGTGAACAGGAACCAGCATTTTGGAGGTTAATTTCACACTCTTTTTTCTTTAAAACGCGGCTAATTTTCTGTAATTGAACACATTGTTATGTAAGAATAATGCATAACATAAAAGAAAAAAAAAGAGAAGACTTGCTTGCTTGTTTAATCTAAAATGACACAATCACTCAAACAAGCAGTGAGTGGTGTTGTAAAAGTCTAACAAGCAAGTACACAAAATGATCTCTATGGTTAGTTGGAAATTAATATTTTGCGGTAAGAAAACCCCTAAACTTACAGTAAACAAAAAAATTATATTATTTTCCATAACTGTATATATATTTTCTTTAAATAAAAAATATAATTTTTTGTTTTGCTTACTGTCCATTATTTTAGATAGTCCTAGAAATGTTTTTTTTATATATATGTTTTTCTATTTATTTATTTTTGTAATTATGAACCAATACTGATTCTAAACATCGCCAAAAATGTCAGTTTCATGCGTTATCCGAATAGAGGTTACCATTTTATTCATCAAAGCCAAATGTATTTTTTTATATGTGGAATAGTTTTCAATTTCAACTTTTCCTTTGTGGTCGAACAATCGACCCGGCATAAAAGGAAATGTGCCCAACCTGCTCCCGCTGGCTTTGTCTATTCAATTTCTCCTATTCTTCTCTTATTCTGACATTATTTATATCTATCTTAACATCCTTTATTTTCTTCTGCTGGACCATTTCTTTTACATTTGTCTCTGTTTTACCCTCCCCCCATCTTTGCACAGTCTCCTTCTTCATCTTCCTCTCCTTCTGAAACCTGATTTACCGCTTGTTAACATCAAAGGGATGTTTGACTGCTGGTGCCCCAAACGAATTCTTCAAATCATTTTTTTTTTTCAGGTATAATTAAGTGTGAGAAATGCAAGGTTATAGTAGTAGTGTTTGGTTTCCAGTGAAGTTTAAGGAGGACAGAAGTCATTGTCGAGGACCATGCTGTGACTGGTCGCTATGTGTGTAATTTAGAGCATTGGTTTGGCAAATCTTCTTAGTAAAATTCGTTTCAGACGAACCAGAAAAGTTTGAAAAATAGCTCCAAATTTTTTTCCTTGAAGAGGCAGGAGGTCTTTAACTTAAGTTTAGTAAGTTCAAAAGCAAGAGTGTGGAAAGAAAAGTACATGCTCTTTATTACAGAATTAATAATGAAATAAGAACACTAATGAAATAAGACGTTTTCATAATTTTGAGATTCATGTCTGTTCTTTTTGTGTATTCTTTTCAAAATCCAAAGCAGAAAATGTACCTAGTAGAGTAATCAAGAGTAGAGTTAGCCAGAGTAGAGTAGCCAGAAGAAAGACGTTATGACCTGTGCTGAAGAAAACGGCAACCTTTATAGCAACACTTAAAAGTATCCATTTCAATTATTTATTGGACTAAAGGAATTATTAGATGGAAAAGGCACTCATCTAAGCTTTTCTTTGGATGATTAACACAGGAATAATACTAGAATAGTAAATAAGCAGATATGTACAGTATGATTTTACGACCCATCAATCCCTGTCCTCTTGTCACAAGCAAAAGTTGATGCAATGCAAAGTCCTTAGACTTGTCTCAGTCATTCTAGAAATCTTTGCAACTATCTGAGCAACATAGAAACTAACTTAAACACTAAATGAAAAAAAAAAATGTCTATAAAATATTTCAATATGTTGGATTTTCTCATTAATTTTGGTACATTTAGCACCTAATCTCCAGACCACAAAATGAATTAACTGCACCCATCCTTCACTTAACTTTTCTTCCCATCCCTAGAATTTGCCCAGAAGTCCCAAAACTCAACCACCCACTCAACCCCATTGCCTGCAATTTTCCTAGGCCAAGTCATTTATTTACATCTGTATTCATTTCCCTTTAAGCCAAATGATTTGTCTGGATTTAGAGTTACTGTTCACCTCCTTCTGCCAATCTTTGTGTGAAATTTTCTCTGTTAGTCTGCATCAGATATACATTTTCTAAGCATAAAGCCATTCATCCATCTCCCTCACTCTCATGTTACATTTGCAAACTTTTCTTTGTGCGCTCCTTCCATCTCTTCTCCCCCAGTCTTTTGCCACTCATATCAGTGCCTCAAGCAATCCAATCCATCTAACTTTAGGAATGCTATCATCCAATTGGGGCCCACACAGTGGATAAAGGAAGGCCCAGAGGGACAAACTAACCATCTATCTGATGGTATTAAGCCCCAAGTGTTGGTCATTTAAGAAACCCACATAGGCCAATCGCCTCTTCACATAGTTTCATATGGCTGTAATTTAGGCACATTTTATTTTCTGACCCACACGTTCACACAGGCACAATCAAGCACTAAAGTACTGTCATTAGCCGTCTGAAGCCACATATATTATTCGCTGGCAGCTGAGATAATAGCGAGTTGATGGAGAGAGTGGTTGGCAGGTGCCTGGACACGCAAACGCTCTGAAGTTAGCATCTTATCTCTGGGCCTGTCATTTTGAATTTGTAAAAGTGCAGAGTCAAACATTCTCTAATAGCCATTTACACTCTGCTTTTCTTCACAACGAAAGTGTGTAATTAAGAGATGGGTAGTGACAGCTGAGAAGTAAGCTTAATAGCGAAACACCAAAACTCAAACAATGAAGAGGGTTATGGAGGAAATATGCAATTCTAAACATACAGAAAGAGATTAAGTAACAGATATTGAATTATGGCGACTGAGGTTTTAACAAAACCTTTGGAGAAAAAAAGAATTTAAATAGTATGAATTTAACAATGAAACTGTAATCTGTTTTGGGGTCACTTTGAGAGACATTTATTTAAATTACTCTACTGCAAAGGATTGTGCTGTTATTGCCTGTGCTTGATGTAGCCTTAAGTAAGTCATCCAAATGGCAGTAAGAAGTTACTGTATGATATCATCTTTTACTTTGTACCTTTCTGACTTTGTTGTCTCTGTCTTTGTGAGAAAGGTCCTAAGAGTTTAAAATAAAAGGAAAGTGTGGGCTGGATTGAAGTTTTTTTTTCCCGAAATGTTCATAGGCCCAATGCAAATTAGAATGGTTATTTGCATAAGGATATAAGTCAAAACTGCCCCAAATATGTCCGTTTGAAGGGTCCTATTGTGGCCTAGGCTTGAGTGTGTGGGTGTGTATGTGTGCATATATGCTTATGTTAGTGTGAGAGATACTTAAGTATCTGGATGTAATAGTTGATTTTTTTATTGCATGTTCTAAGCTGTAATGTTGAAGTAGAACTAACTTCTTTCTACAGTTAGATAACTTTATGTCCAATTATCTTATTCAGCAGTTGTGATATATTATGTGCATACAGTTAGGCATTTTAACAGAATATAGAAAAAACGTACCTAAATTGTCCTACAGTTGAGATCATTGGAACAGCAGGGAAAATCTGATCATGAATATTATACTTAAATTTGATGGGTTTATATGTTTAAAAAAAGAAAAGAGCATGACTTACATAATATAGAGACTGAAGCAATAATTCAAAAATTTCTGAAAATATGTTAAAATTTGGAAGTTAAAGCTGTGCTTGAAGCTGCCAAGTCTGCCAAGAATTGTCCTCATTTTTTGAAAATTCATATTATTTATTCTCAGAGATTGAAGCCATTTTATATGGCTAATACTAAAACTGATTCCCATGGTTTTTCAAACAGCATCTCTCTCTGTTTTAGGAAATTTGCAACAATGTGTGATTATATTATCTGAGCAGAGGCTATTGTTTATTTAAATCAAATATCCTTTTTATTTCTCTGTATGAAATACTCGCTGAAAACAAATTAAAGACCTGATCTTCACCTGGTTTACATGTATTACATTCAATTAAATTTCTTAGAAAATGTTCAGGCATAAAGCTGATCTAGTAACAAGGTGCAAATCAAATTGCTTTTCTAAAATACGCACAGTAAGAACAATCACCTTAGCCTGTTGCCTTCATGAGTATGCAGAACATATGCTGATGCCCCAAATTAGCAAATTACTCAGGGGATGATATGCAAATGTTATTCCATTCCTCACACACAAAAAAATAAAGATTTCTGAAATCTGAAAGTGATTGCAAATATTTTTTGCATTTACGTATATTTCCTCTATGGAAGAGTTCTTCAATTCTAGTCCCTGAGGGGTAATATCCTTTGCTTCAGCAACACCTGGGTTATATAATCAGTTCATTAGCAGGAATCTGAAGAACTTTACTCCATCCCAAGGACGTAATTCAGCCATTTGGCTTATATGACAGAAGCAGGACATCAGCCCTTGAGGCTTGGAACTGAAGAGGCCTGTTTAACAGGTTTTGAAGAAAGTATCATTATGTTGTATTAGATTATCCTGGGCCAGCATTTCAAAATAATGTTGTGAAAGAGCTGGTGGAGGTAGATACAGCTGTTTAGAGCTTGATCGACCTTTAAGTCACAGAGGGCTCCTGTTTGGACTGCCAGTCAGATGTGGAACTGGGGCAGAGGGGATCTTCTAACTTTCCCTAATAATTTCCCTTTAATCTTTTTTTTTTACTTTTGTCCTTAGAACTTTGATATATTTATATGTAAAGTGCATTGTGAAGAATATTAATTATTATTACCGTATTTTCACGACTATAAGGCGCACTTAAACGTCTTTTTTTTCCCTCAAAATGTGCGGTGCGCCCTATGGTGCGGTGCGCCTTATGTGTGTTGTAACTGCGACTTTTGAGACCACCTCATTGAGGAGATGATGAAAGAGTGGCTGAATGTAAGGAGACCAGGTGTTTTTTTTCCACTCATCACCATCGCTGTT